ACCGGTACTATTTCAAGGAAGCACGAGATGCCACTCAATAACATACTCGAGGTCGAGTTGTTTGACATGTGGGGGATAGATTTCATGGGACCATTCCCTTCTTCCTATGGTAATCGATATATTCTAGTAGCCGTTGACTATGTCTCAAAGTGGGTTGAAGCAATTGCTACTCCAACCAATGATGCTCGGGTTGTAAGTAAGTTCTTTAAGAAAGTTATTTTTCCTCGTTTTGGTTTACCACGTGTGTTAATCAGTGACAGGGGAACACATTTCTTGGAGAATCGGTTTGAAGCAATGCTGAAAAAGTATGGAGTGCAACACAGGGTTGGAATCGGCTATCACCCACAAACTAGCGGTCAGGTTGAGGTGTCCAACCGAGAAATAAAGTCTATTTTGGAGAAAACAGTTGCTAGAACAAGAAAGGATTGGTCTGTTAAGATCGATGATGCGCTATGGGCATACCGAACGACATTCAAAACACCTATTGGTACCACTCCATATAGATTGGTGTATGGAAAGGCATGTCACTTACCCGTCGAACTAGAACACCGAGCATTTTGGGCCATCAAGAGTTTAAATTTCGATGCTCAAGCAGCGGGTGAAAAGAGATTGCTACAGTTAAATGAGCTAGATGAGCTTCGCCTTGAAGCTTATGAGAGTTCAAAGTTGTACAAGGAAAGAACAAAAAGGTGGCATGACAAGGGTCTCATGAGAAGAGAATTCAAAGAAGGAGATCAAGTCCTCTTATTCAACTCAAGATTGAAGCTATTCTCCGGTAAGCTTCGTTCTAGGTGGTCGGGCCCATTCAAGATTTGTAAAGTTTACCCCTATGGCACCATTGAATTATGGAACAAGGATGGTGACACTTTTAAGGTGAATGGCCAAAGATTAAAACACTACCGAGTTGGTGACCCAATCGATGAGAGAGTAAACATCACGCTCTCTAATCCGGCAAAAGAAAGTTGAGCAAAAAGGTGGTCGAGCTTATGACCATATAAACAAGCGCTTACGGGAGGCAACCCGCCTTTATTTTATTTTATTTTATTTTTATTTTTATTTTCATTTTACTTTAATTTTTATTTTTTTTATTTTCCTGTCTAAGAGAATGACAAGAGAATTACAGTGCCACACTCATCGTTAAAAATGGTTATGTAGGTGAAGAGCTAAAGGAATGGGGCGATAACGAGTAAAAGCTTCATTGCCCGGCTAGCCCGGGCAACGTTGCTCTATCGGGCGCGAGAAGCAGCAAGAGAAAAGGAGGAGAGAAATTTCGACCTCCCTCCGCCCGGTCAGACCGAGCAACTCAGCCCTACCGGGCGCGAGACGCAGTAAGTTTCGAAAAAAAAAAAAAATTCAAACCCTCTTCGCCCGGTAAGCCTGGGCAATTCAGCCCTACCGGGCGCGAGACGCAATAAGTTTCGAAAAAAAAAATTCGAACCCTCTTCGCCCGGTAAGCCCGGGCAATTCAGCCCTACCGGGCGCGAGACGCCATAAGTTTCGAAAAAAAAAAAAAAAAATTTTAACCCCCTCCGCCCGGGCAGACCGGGTAAACCTGCCCTACCGGGCGCGAGCCTCCACCTCCGAAAAAAAAAAAAAAAAACCCGAAAACCCCCCTTCTTCTTTTCTTCCCCCTTTACTTCTTTTCCCATACTCCTCTCTCTCTCTCCTCTAAAAAATCCCCAATTTCCAAACCCTAACCCCAAATTCCAATCATCAACTACTACCAAATATTCCCCAAATTTCACATCTTTACCCATCATCTACTTCCTCTTCATCATTCTTTGCATTTTTCTCCATCAATTTTCCACCATACCCATATATTTTTCTGGAGAGAGAAAGCTTGAATATTCATCCATGGCTACAAGGAAGAGGAGTAGGATTGCAACCCAAGAACCGGACTTGGACCTTGAAAGTGTGCCGGAATTTCCACATATCAAGTTCGTACGACAATTCCCCAACCAAAAGGTTAGATTTTTGGAGCTTATGCATCGAAAGGTAATTCCTACCCGTTTTATTGATCATGTTTTTCTTGCTAAGTTAGGAATTCATGATGATTGTAAGCTTTTATTCTCAAAACTTGGTATGACTCAATTATTCACTATGGTTCATAACACTTATGAAGATCTAACCCTTGAATTTTTGAGCTCTTTTGGAATTGAAAAGGGGAGGAATGGGTTGGTGACATATGTTGCCTATAGGTTGTCAAACAAGAGCCATAGACTTTCTTTGGATGGGTTTGCTAGAAAATTTGGGTTGTCATCCCATGGATTACAATCTCACCGGACCATTTAATTTCGGGGGATCTTTGGTTAGCTTTAACCGGTGAACAAATAGACTCTTGGCAACATGCTTCCGCTAACAAAATTCACCAACCCGCCCTTCGGTTCTGGACCCGTACTACGGGGTGGACCATTTTCGGGAGGATAGAGCCCCATAATGTGAGAGTTGATGAGGCGGAAATTTTGGGTAGTCATTTGAAAACACAACCCGCCGAACATGCTTACACTATGAACATAGCCCACCTTTTCGCCCTTCACCTTAGGAAACAAAGTTGTACTTTCACCACCCTCAAGGCCAATGGCGAACGCACTCAAATTCCCATAGTTCTTGGTGGCCTTGTTACACACTTAGCGGTCAAGGAAGGTTTTGTTGAGGCTAGCAAGCAACCCGTAGTAGGTCCTACCCTCTTGGATCAACAATACTTCATTTCCACGGGTTGGATTTCCATAAAATCGAATAGTATTCGATGGCTCATAGGTAAAACCTCTCGTTCTATCTTTTTACCTGCACCCGAGCTCACTAAGATCCACCCTAATCAACCTTCTTACCTCTTGGAGACCCCGGTGCAGCCAATACCTCCCATTGCCCCTGTCATGACCACCTTGACCTACTCTAGGCGATCGGATACGGGAGCTTCTTCTTCTTCTTCTGCCCCCCCCCCCCGATCATGATGCCATCATGGCCGGTATCCGTGGTCTCGAGTTGTCCCAGCAGGGCCTCTCCTCTCGTCTTCAGACCGTAGAGACTGACCTTCGCCTTTGTATGTATCCTATTTATGATTTTTTTTGCAGGCAAGGTCACATTCCCAGGGATGGCCAACATCCTTCTTGGTATGTCCTTCCCGATGATGGGAACTCTGCTGGTGGAAATGGAGCAACTGATGATGATGTTAGCGATGATGAGAACCTTCCCTGAGGTTCTCGAGTAGTGCACTACCTACCCCTCGTTGCAATGAGGTCATTGCCGAGTGTAGCTTGGGGGAGGATGTATATAGCCTTTGTTTTGGTATGTTCTTTTTTTTCTCTTATGTCTTGCTAGATAGATTTTATTGCTTTGGGTAGTTTAGTTTATTGCTTTCATAAATTCAAAAAAAAAAAAAACAAAAAAAAAAAAGTTAATCATGATGATGAACAACTAGTAAACAACTTCCTTGTGCCCCTTTCCTTGATGATTAAAAGGTTTTTGGCTTGATTCTGATTGAAAGACTTGCAATGCGGATTAAATGATCATGATCTGATTTTGGATTGTCTTGGCCTAATGGAAGTCAACTTTGTTCAACTGTGTATGAATCTGGAGCTTGACTGTGTTAACTATGAGGCTTGAGCCTTTAGTATTCATTCATGTGTGTTAGTTCCTGGTGTGACATTGATCTTAGTTTTGACTTGAGACTTTTAGTAGTGTGCCATGATACATTGCACATGCACGATGAGGAGGACGAAGGCCATGTTCATTAGGTAGCCTCCAGATGAATTTAGAAAACGTTTGTCCCCTTCTTGCTTACCCATGTTGTAGCCTTGTCCATGTTTTTCATCTAAGTCATAAAATTAACCTATCGGCCCCAATTAGTAACTTATCCCAAGTCTAGCTTGGGGGAGCCATCTATCTTGGTATTCTCTTTGGTTTGTGATGATGTTTTGAAGAAGATTAATTTGAAGCTTGAAGGTTCTGGAAAATTTTGCTATATGATCTATTTTTTAAGCTCTTATAGTTTGTTATAAAAAAAAAAGAAAAAAAAAGAAAAAGAAAAAAAAAAAAGAAAAAGAAAAAATTTCAGCTTCTTGAATGATAAATAAAAGAGCTTCAAAAATAAGAATAGTGCGATGAATTGTTATGTAGGGTGAATAAGGTGGTAGTTGCTCTTAACAAGTTATGTCTGGAGTGTATATTCTTGTGAATTAGTTCGATGGGATTTTGATTTGTATCATTCATTTTTTATGGCTTCCCTGAGGGACTATATTTGCCTACATTTTTCAAATTTTTCCTACCCATTATCAGTGGTTGTGGTTGAGTTTCAGATCTAAATGGTGGTGAGAGAGTGGTGGTACAAGGAGGGTGCTGGTGGTGTTTAAAAGGTTACTAATTAAGGTTTTCTTTCTTATTTTAGTCAAAGTAAGTAATAAATATTAATATCAATAGCTGAAAAAAAAAGAAAAATAAATAAATAATAACTCATGGTCCCTAAACTTTTGCTGATTAGGATAAGTCCCTTAACTTTTTGGTCAGAAACACCAAGAGTGGTGGTTATGGGACCAAAAGTGCACAAATGAAAGTTGAGGGATTAAAAGTGCACAAATACGAAAATTCAGGGACCGTATTTGTGCTTTACTCTAGTTTCATTTGTGATTTTTTTTTTTTTTGAAGGGAGTTTCATTTGTGATTTAGTATAAATAAACTAACCAAAAATATATTTGTGAATTGGTCTTGTATTGTTAGGTACGTACCAATGTATATATTTGAAAATATAAATTTTATTTTCTCCAATTAATAATTGAAGATAATAATGTATGAAATTATGCATTTGCAAAGATCTCGTGTCAAATTGTCATCTAAGACAAAACACATCAAGGCGGATTTTTGTTAAGACGGGCAAGGGTCAAACCCCCTAAGTATTTTTGAATAGTATGTTTTTTAATATTTGCATATATTTCCTCTGTTATGTATTAGTTGCAACTTTGGAATTTTTTATGTCTCATAAGTAATACCTCAAAGTTACAACTAATATGTAACGGAAGAAGTAAAAAAAATATGGCATGGTGGTTAGAGGATCAAAACTTGGCTCCCCAACCTTTTGGCCCAAGATCAGCCACCGCACAGTTTGTGTTCTGGATCTTCTATTGCAACATATAACACCTAAGTTGCATGCTTATGATACCTTTGTGATAGAGAGAACATACGCAAATCATGTTGATCATGTCGTTGTAATTCAAAATGTAAAAAATTAGAGAAAGCATGGAAATGGATATAACCAAAAAAAATTATGGAAGAACACAATAATACAATAACCACCACTAATTAACCCATCATATGTAAAAAAAGCCAAAAAAAAAAAAAACTATCTTTTTTTCCCCTTTTTGTTTAGTTGATTAATCAAAGAACTCTTGATCATTTTCAGCAAGTACCATCCTACTTAAAGGACTAGGCCCAAGTTTTCTCCTCCTTAAAGAAGCTCTTCTTCTAATAATCTCCATCTCATTTCTCCTCCTAACTTGCATCATTGCTTCCTCTTCAACCACAAACCTTCTCATTAAAACATCGTCGGTCAATGATTTCCCTCTAAACACTCTCCTTCCCTCGGTGCTATGCCTTGCACTTGGAATCCTCCATTCTTGTGCATTATTCGTCGAAGGTGGTGGAGTAAAGGGCTTTGATCGCGGGTAAGTGTAGCTTCTCCTAGGAGGAACATCGGTGTTGAAGACCTCATTGTAGGAAGAAATAGGAGCACATAAGCATACTCTTGTGAAAGAAGTGGCAACTTTAAGAGAAGTAGATTTTATAAGCTTTTGTTTGCTAGGGTTTGTTGTTGGTTGGATTTCTGTGGTTTTAATGGTTTTCCATAGTGCTGAATTTGCCGTTGTTGGTGATTTTACAATTACTTTCCATAAGGTTGTCATCTCTAAGGCTTTTCGATACCAAGGCTTCCTGAAAGTAAAAAGTGAAAAATAAAGTGAATTCCGAAGTAATCATGCATAATCCGATTACACCACATACCAATGTTACCCTCAATCTCAAAACTAACTTAAATACACACGATGACACGAGCAATATCCCACAAAAATGCATTTATTTGTACGGTAGTCTTATATCTACAAGACTATAATAGATGGGATCATTTTAAACAAACCAAACATAGACATGTACAAGTATGATGATATAATTTGGAGCGACAAAAAGTTGATAAAATTTAGGCATGACATACATTAAATATGGTACTTGCGTGTGCATTCATTCCAATTTATCAGATGTCTTCATATTTATGTTTAAGTATCATTTTGATGTAAATTATACAGATGTTGGCAGCCATTTCAAATTTGAACACAGTTTCAATTCTCCGGCTTTATGCAAAATGCAAAACATCTATTATGTCAAACAGCTTGTCTTTGTCTTCGAAAAAAGATGGCGAATGTCAATGAGAAATTCAAACAAAAGATATACTTCATCCGTCTTCACGTACAGGATAATGATATGTGTAATCGTTAAAGTATTAAGTATGCATTTAAAACATTTCCTACGTAATACTTTTTGTTTCTTAGACGCAACTATGAGATCGTATATATCATTTTCTTTATCATAATTAGCAACATACAAAGTATATAAGACACTTTATGTCAATCAAACATTATACAAATATCATTACTCTTAAGTTAAGACTTTAAATTGTCCAAGCTTCATGTGACACCACCTTGGTAGCTTGCAATTGGCTGGAAATTGATGTAAAGTTTTACTGTTACACATTAAATTCCATTTTATTGTTTATCGTTGACAAAATCTATTGCTCAATACTTCATAAAACACCTATAGTTTCACATCCCAAAGTTGATAAAAATTATTTGACAAATTTTGTATAAATTTGCAACAAAGTACAGGCATTGTATGCTTGAACCATTGTTCATTCTAATACTTCATTGAACTTTTTTTTTTTTTTATAGGTAAGAAAAAAAAAGAAAGAATTAGGACCCCCTCCTCACGAGGGGCGATCCTAAAGCATCTGAGGTGAGAATGAGGTACAATTGAACTTAAGGTGGCATTCTTTCCATTAGTATGTACTATACGATATGCTATAGGCCTATAGTTAGAGTTAATACATATACATCACACGCTAAAGGTCACTGATAGATAATATACGCAAAATAAAAAAAAATTGCTATTTACCTAGCCCTATTAAACATGTCTTATCATTTGATTCATTTCCATGTTTAAAAAATATGTATCAATACAAGTAGGACCAAGGAGCAACGGACAAATTTGAAAAAAATTTGCTTTATGACTTAGCAAAGACATGTTTACAAGCTGTTAATTATTGTTCTACAGCCATTTAATTTATTCGGAATCAACCATCATATAACACTAAGGATATAACATAATTTTACAGAACCTTAGACAATAGCCAAAGTTTTTATTTACTACCTCCGTTACAAGTTAAGTGCAACGATTAGACATTTTCCCCCTCTGCTTTATGTCAAATCATTGCACATAACTTGTAACGGGTGTAGTATTTTAACTGTGAAATGAATGGAGTATAATGATAATGCAATTTAATTCAATTTCAAAAAAATAATGAAATACTACTATAATTTAATTTGGAGTACGATTTAACTTCATTATTTGAAAAGTTATTGAGACACCATAAAAAATATGATGAAATAACACTTGTCTAGAGATATTTTTGGTTTGGGATTAGAGATGAAAGTAAAATAAAAGCTCTGAAGTAACTGAACTTATAAGTGACGCAATCTGCAGAGGCTTAAGACAGGTATTTCTCATGTTCTCATGTTCAGTTCTATGATGACCCTTATGACATATTGACAGAGTTAATAAGATAAATATCATGGTTGTGCCTGTAATTTAAGCCAATAAATGACATATAATTACACTCACAACCATCGTATTGACAATGCGACAATTAATTTTGAATCATGAAAGACAATGTTCTAATATACTTGTAATGATAATTAATTATTTAAGTAAATATCAATTTTGTACAAAAGGGTTCAAATGAAATTTAATGTTTGGAGAAACTTCCAAGCACCAAAATGCCAAACAAACAAGTGATCAAATTCTACAAATTACTCCTTTTGTCTTGAATTATCAAATTAATACTTTAATTTGAACTAGCAGTGTGACGACACTCATAACAAGCCAGTGAATTCTAGCTACAAAGTATTCCTTACATCATAAACTGTCACGTTAATAGTGTAATTTGAACTAGTGGTGTAACCAACCACAACAAGAAAGTGAATTCTACAAATTAAATTACTTCTTATATCCAACTATCACGTTAATAGCGTAATTTGAACTAGTGGTGTGACATTCTACGACAAACCTCCAAACGGAGGTAGTAATGATATAAACCCAATCAATCAATCAACAAAGAATCATGGAAAAAGATGAAGAATTAAACATAAAACAAAATGTATGGAAAATGAAACAAGAATACAAACCTTGTTCTTGAGGTCTTGGGATCTTGCATGAACAAAGCACCCAGAAGAAGAAAGAAGCAGAATTTGATGACAGAGCAAGTTCATTTGTTAGAAACACAGAAAAAGACACACTAAACTATACAACAAAGAAAGAGAGGGAGAAATAATGGAGAAAATTTAACACTTTAACTTCAAATATTTATTTGAAGTCATTGAAGATGGGTTGGCAACTTGGAAATCTCACTCTTCCTTTATTTATTTACTTTTTTTTTTATTAAAATTTTAATTAAAATCAATTTACTTTAATAAAATAAAAAAATGACAGGCTTCAATTTTATTCAGAGAGATTCAAATTGGCCCAAAAAGGACGAAAAAGTAAAGCTCTTAACCACCTTTTTCCTTTTTTTTTTTTTTTTTTTTTTTTGCTTACTTTAAAAAATTAAAAGAAAAAAAAAAATTAAAAAATGTATCAGCAATAATACAGTGTTGAGGGAGTGGAAAGTGTACACACCCTAGCTTAGTAATCATGTTTAGCCTCTCTTTGTCTATTTATGATTATGGGCATGTATTTTTGCTTCTTGTCATGGGACCAATTTTTTTTCTTATTCTTTGGTTCTCATGTGATTATGATCATACTGTATCAAAGATAATTAATTCCCCAAATATTTCCCTAAACACACAATCTTGTAGATAATTAGTTCATGCAATTTATACTATCAACTTAGGGCATGTTCACATTTACTGAACTGAGCTGAACTGAACTGATTGAAGTTGAACAGAACTGAGCTGAACTGAATATTTTATGAGATAGGGAAATTAGGAGCTGAACTAAACTGAACTGATTGGAGCTGAACTGAAGTGATTGGAGCTGAACTGAACTGAACTGAAATTAAGTAAATGTGAACAGGCCCTTAGATTGATGATAAAATATGACACGACTACCATGGACGTGATACCACTGTATCATTTTTTAACTTATTTTTCATTAACGTAATGTATGTACGGCTTATGTGTAGCTTAGTAGATCTGATTTAGGTAGATGATCGAATTTTATTTTTTAACTTATATTAACCGAAAAAAAATTAGGCGAACAAAATAATAACATCCACTGAAGATTTTATAAACTTTATTTCGAGATCAACTTGAAGTATCAATAATATATACTAATAAATATGTTCGAATTAGTAATGAAATATATCAATTTATACTATTTTTTTTTGAAAAAAAAAAAGTTATAAACCATTATGAATGTTTACAAACTAATTGTATCCAAAAAAATTATTAATTTTATTGATAAAAATCTTAAATATAATATGTAAAGTAATCTAATAGAAGAACACAACAATGATTGAACATAAACACACGCACAAAGGTGGGCACACAATTCATACTAGAGATTTATACAGTAATAAATAAGTAAATTTCAAGGAATTGAAAAATGAGGATGCAATGGAAGGTAACATAATGATTAATTTTGTTGGGTGGTATATTATTATTTCCACGAGTTTCATTTTTTATTTTATTTTATTTTTTCAAAAAAAAAGGGGGGGGGGGGGGGAAGATGTATTGATGTGCATACAAAAGGCACTATCATTAACGATATGCTAGATCGATCAAGGAGATCCGATCCACACAGTGACACAGTAGTTGAGTAGTACTAGCATGCATTAAGTATTAGTGTATTACAAATAAATTATGTAGATGTAAACCAAATTTTATGAAATTGAGATCTATGTTATGAACTTTTATTTTATTTATTGGTTACACCTTAGGTAGTCTAGCATAATATATCATGATTGTCTTGATTGAGAGAGATTTAACCGCTACCGCTTGTAAAAGAACAAAATAACCTGGCTGAGTAATTTCTATAACACTAACGAAAAAACTCCTGTAACATTAACTGAATAACCCCTATAACACTATAAACCATAAAAATTCAAACCTGCAATACATAATTAAAGAGGTAGAAAATATACGGAAACAATGATTTTCATTGATAGTCTGTGGATTACAACTCTCGTAGATCTCTTGATTCCTCTCTCCAAAGGGCTAGGGTTTTAATATGTTTATAGTATGGGGCCTTGTCGGCTTAAATCCATACTATGTACCTACAATGTTCGGTATTAGGGAGGAGATGGGGTCTTTGTGACTTGTTCCATCTGAACTTAATTGAACCCTAGATTCGACCCTCTTTATATAGAGAGTCGTAGAGTAAAAGATAATAATCTATGAGATTCAGAAGATAAATATCTTATAATTTTTTATATTATCTCCTTATTTACATATATCTGACACCTAATAATTAACAAAATTTCAGTGTCAACAAACACTAACGAAGTAACCCCTATATAAACATGACATGTCACCTTCACATGTATTAGGTTTGCATCTAAAAAATGCTTATAACAAGACTTGAACTTAAGGATGGAAATATCCAACGGATGATCCTACCTCCCGATCCATCCGCTTTATTAAACGGGTGAAAAACACGGTTTATATGGATGAGAGGCGGGTGATGGATCGGGTCGGATTCGGGTGGTGGTTAATCCCATCCGTCACCCATCCATCCATCCGTTTAGTATTATAAATATTCTTATTTTTTAAAAATAAATATAAATATCTTATCCATATATAATGTTTGCATATTAGAAGTTTTATGGTACGATTATATTTTAATTTTTATGTTAATATTTGACATATCACAATTATTTTACAATAATTATTTCAATATTGAAGGGTCAAAATAGTTTTCTCAAGTTTTTTTTATCTAAAATTAATTTTTATTCACCCACCCGTTTACCACCCGGCCCATCCGTTTCACCCGCGGATGGATGGATTTCAGGTGATTATTATGCGGGTGACGGGTGGATCGGGTGAAACGGATGGATGCGGGTGGAGCTCCACCGACCCGAACCCGATCCATTTCCATCCCTACTTGAACTCAAGACCAACAAGTATTAAGTAAAGAGTCTTACCATCTTAGCCATTTATAAATTGTGTTTTTTTACCCAACAGAATTATAGTTAACTTAGATTAGTTAATTTGTGTCTTATTATACTATTTGTTTTCATTATGTAATGATTGAGTTTTACAACTAAAACATGTTTATAGCAAGAGTTAAACTCAAAACAAACAAGTCTTACTATCTAAACAGTCGAATTTAATTAACAAATTAAACAAGTACAAACTAGCAACCTAGGGCATCGCCTGAGCCACACACTAGTTCTAAATTATTCAAGTAATTCAAATTCATGAATTCAAACTAGAAGCCACCGGCATAATGGTTCCTCTTCAAGTATTCGACCCCAGCTTCTACGTCGTCTCCTACAACAGTGCAACCAACAAGTGCTATGAGTTGATGTCAAGACATGGGATAGGTAAAGTCAGTTTTGACTGGTTCTACTACCATCGTCTGTGGACTTCATCCAACAATCGGGGCTCCAACAAGTGCAAAAGCCGCAATTTACCAACTTTTATTGCTTTGTTTATATTTGTTTGTACGAGCTAGTTTTAAGTGTATGTGTTGCCTTTTATTTCCTTTTACTTAGGCTAGGTTGTAATCTTGTCTTTTAATTAATAGATCTCTTTGTCAAATATATATATATATATATATATATATGGAGGAAATTTTGTGAAAAACTACCTATTATAATCCAGAATTTGCGAGAAACTACCTATTAAAAAAAATGTTGTAATTGACTACCTAAAATTTTTAAAATGTTGTAATTTACTACCTTTACGCCGGATTATGAAGGAGTTTGACCAAAATTCTCCGGCATTGACTTGGTGAAAGAAAAGGGTCATTAAGTGTCACATGATGGTCACGTGGCCAAGTCAACACCGGAGAACTTTGATCAAACTCCTTCATAATCGGCGTAAGGTAGTAAATTGCAACATTTTTCGAAAATTAGGTATTCAATTACAACATTTTTTTTAATAGGTAGTTTCTCGCAAATTCTGAACTATAATAGGTAGTTTTTCAAAATATATATATATATATATATATATATATATATATATTAGGAAGCCAATATTGTTGGAAGCACATTGGCAAATCAATGGGTAAATTGAGGTCAATTGTCTATATTGTGGAATTTTGGAAGTTGGATAGAATTTTTTGTCCATAAGATTATCACAAAAAATCTATTAGCTAGAACCTATCATTTTGTTGTACAAATTGTTATAAACACATATTTGTTTACCCAAATTCTTATTTGTGACTAGCCACGTTATATGGTCACTTCACATATTAGATACTTTATTGAATAATCGAGGCTTATGGTGATGAGCAAATGAGATTACCTTGATGGATCAGTAGAAAAATGGGATGATTCTCATATATAAATAGAATTGTTCTTTTGTGAATCAAAACAAAATAATAGTGGTTCCTCAAACGAGAAAATGGATGAGGTTATATTTTTTAAAATTTTCTTAATGATATTACATAAATGATAAATTTTTTTACGGACAAAATGGTTTACTTATTTTCTCTATGAGTAAATAAAGTTACTCTTATAAATAAATAAAGAAAAAAAAAAATCAATGTGGTCACACCAAGTAACTAGACATACACACAAACTAAGCAAAGCCAATGGTTACCCATTAAAGGTGGGCATCAAGAGAGAGAGAAAAAAAGTATTTAAAACTCAAAAGATGATACTTTAATAGAGAGAAATCTAATGACTAGGTCATGGCCATGGCCATTGGCAAAGGGTGGGCAAACAATATGTATGTGCCACTTGTCACGGTATGATTGGGCTGTCATTTTTTTTCCTTTATTAGTGATGAATATTATGATTATAGGGCAACCAATGAGTATATATGAGCATAACTGGGCATGGTGATTGGGCATGGATGAGATGGAAGAAAGAGATATTAATTAAAAAGTTGATAACCACCATTGATTTGGACAATCATTGGCTTTGCTCCACTAGTAGAAAAAAAGCATTAGGCACCCCCCATATGGCACCGGTTCAGGCTAAACCGGTGCCCAAAACCGGTCCAGTAATGGGAGGGATTTTAGACGAAGAGAAAAGGCACCGGTTCAGATTGAACCGGTGCCAAAAATGCAAATGGCACCGGTTTGAACCGGTGCCACTGAACCGTTTCACCCTTTTTAAAAAAAAAAACGAAGCATTAAACTTATATACCCTAAAATTGTTTAATTCGCCCCCATTTCCTCTCCTCTCCTTCTCTCTCTGTTCATTCTTCTTTCAATCTCCATTGTTCTTTCAATCTCCATTGTTCATTCTTCTTTCAATCTCCTCTCTCTCTGTTCGTTCTTCTCTCT